GTTCTTCCTTGAGCTGCGAAGCTCCGCTACACTCGGTGATCGACTCGTCAGGGCTCCCCCACAAACAAGCGGCTGCTGGAGGAGAGTAGGTGAGTTGTGTTTAGTCTCTTTGCTAAAGAAATTAGGCAAAGCTAAAAAGATGTTTGGTGGCTAGTACTATGGCTGGGACCCTATATGTACGTTTGATGAAGTTAAGTGCTGTTCTGAGTATTATTTGTGGCTATAGAGTGACTTTTTGGTTGAGGTTTGCATGTGGAGACGTAGGCTGCTGTCTATTGCTATCATGCGGTCATTGTTGAAGTTGGTATAACTAGAGAAGCAAGCGGTCGGCAACATTCATATCTTGAGGGGCTGTCTAACTCGGTGTTACGGTGTGTTGGACCCTAACTTAATTTTATGCTGGAATATCCCTTTCATATTTCATTCCTTATACTCAGTTCAAACTCTAATGTAATCCCAGCTCATCATCATGTGACCCTTTAGAAACCAGCATACATTTCAGATCTCTTTTCAGACTCCCCTTACTGGCTTTTAAAGACTTAAAGAACTTAGCACGGCAAGTTATTTGAAAGTTTTTAATGAGGTAAAACAGTGGAAGGAACATTAGGGGCACAGCTAGTAGAAATATCTAAACTGCACATCCAAAGACCTCTTTGGAAAAGAGACCAATTGTTGAAGACTTGATTATTAAAATGAAAAACTTCTCTGACCCCTTCACTGTGGAAAAAAACAGAAAAATGACTGTGTCTTATGACACACAATTTTCATGCAATCCCTCCTCTTGCTTCAGATTACTGTAATCACAGCAATCTCATTTTTTTAAAATCAGTATGTCTCATGTCCTATATGGTGCAATAAGACTTAAAGAGGGATGTACAAGTCTGAGTCAAGACCTGCACTGGGTAACTTAGATTACGACACTGTCCCACCTCCTCAATACAGGAAAGTAAAGACAAGTTAAAGTCAAGACCAAAGACTCTCAAAGCACTCAGAAGAGGATTACAAAGGAGGATTATACAAAAAGAGGCTTTAGCGAGCTACAGTGTCTAAAAACCACCTGAAAGGAGGTTAGACTGTTCATCAGCATCAGCACCATTCAAGCGAGAACACCTCATCATCTCAAAATTGATCTCAATCTGCTAGGTTAAATAATCGACCCTTATACAGAAAGTCACAGTGTGTTAGATTGAATGGTGTCCACTGACTCCTCCTTGGTGAACCAAAGAACCCCTGGACCTGGAGAGATGTAGTCCTGACTGGGCATAAGTCCGTGTCTTGGACCAGATCTGGAGTGCAGAATTGGACATGAGGGGTTGAACATAAGAAGTTTGTCCTGAGCTGCCCCTGGTGTAGTCCTCCATCAGCACACAGAGAGACTTTTCTTACCCAGCGCTGAGCTTCACCCCAAGAACCAGCTCAGCCTAACCCAGCCTGTCCTCAGCAGGAAATACAAGAGCTTTATCCCAGACCCACGCTGACCTGATTCCAGACCGAGACAGGTTTGGAGGGTAACAGGAGCTTCACTGAGGCTGCTCACACACACCTGAGGCTGTGGGGAGGTTGCAGAAGGTATTTCAGGCTCTTGAGTTTCACAGCATTCCTCTTGTCCATCTCAGTCTGCTGACAATGAAGCTAATGTTCCTATCAGATAGAGATTACTTAACAGGTCCTCTCACATATTCCTCTCTGTTCACAGTTCAGCACCACCTTGCATTGCTGTTTCATTTGGTTTCCAGTTTCAGCAGGGGTTGTCTGAGGTTTAGTCAGCTGTAAAAATTCTTTTCTTTTCATCTTTTCTTTCATACATCCTTTGTTTTACAAGCCAGCCACCTTATCTGACTGTGAGGATGGATGTTATACTCTTCTGGGTCGAGGTCACGTTTCTGCTGCTGATTCTCTGCCAGCTGTGTCACCCCACCCGTCAACCACGCAGCTTTCTTGCTTGGATCAAATGAACTCATTTCCACTACGTCTGCTCTGAATCTGGGTGTCATGGCTGACATCCAACTAGCCTTTCAGGTTTCACATTGCCTTGGTTACTCAGTCCTGCCAATTTGCCCTCAATGACATCAGGAGGATCAGACCCTACCCAACAGAGCACACAAGAGAGTTCCTGGATCGGGCTCTTATAGTACCAAGCACTGACTGCTGCAACTCCTTACTGGCAGGCTTCCCTGCGTGCACAATGAAACCTCTGCAGGTGGTCCTGAATGCAGAAACCTGTCTGGTTTTTAACCAACCTAAAACAGCATGTCAGTCTGCTGTTCATCTCCCTTTACTGGCTTCCAGTAGCAGTCTGCAACAAATATAAAGCTCTACTTCCTGTTTACAAAACTGCAACTAAACAAGCTTCTGTCTACCTGCAATCCTACATCAGGTCTACACTCCTTCCTGCCTGTAACGCTCTGCTATTGAAAGGTGCCTGGTGCCCCCATCATAGCAAGGCTTTGAGTAAGCAGCCAGACTCTTTGCCTCTGTTGCCCCTCTGTGGTGGTATGAATAACCAAACATTATCAGATCCATAGAAACCCTTTCTACTTCTGAGACACTTCCAGACCCTGCTGAAAGGGAAGAAATCAGTATAGGTACTTTGACACTTATGATGATATTGTGGTTTTATGTTGATGATTACATGTTGTTAGCTGCAGTAGTGATGACGATGGTGATGATGATGATGATACAATGAAAGGCTTTACAAACACCCTTGAGCAGCAGGAGGTGCTGTCCATATTTAGTGAGAAGTCTCAATGAGATGTCTCATTCCTTTTTGGATCAGTTCTTGCAGCATCCTGTGCTCATATATTCTCAGGTGACGTCCATTTAGTCTTAAAGGGTTCTGGGTTTAGGAAATGGCATCTGTTTTTCAACCTTTCCTTTGTCCACCATCCCTCTGCTCCTCTAGCTTCTTACCCAGCACTCATCCCTCCTCTGATCAGCCTCCTTCTGCTCCCTGTGATCACCTGTACCCTGTGTGCTCTGTTTTCTGTGTGCATCCTCTGTGACAGTGATGGATCTTTAGGAGTGGCTCCTAATCTTTTCATGATGAAGGATACCCTCCTTCATCAGGAAGGTGTCCTTGCTCACAACTCTGTCACATGTTAAGTGATGTGATAAATGAGACCAATTTTCAGTACATTGCTAATCTCTCTTTTTAAATTCAACCATCACACTATGTCTTGAATCATTTATAACCTGTAACACCCATGACTCTGCCCTTCAGTAAACTGCAGACTTAAGCCAAAAACATACAGATCCGTATTGGGTATCGCATACAGGATGCGTATTTGGAGTATGGCAGCAGCGTAGTGCAGCCGCAGTCAGCTGGGCTCAGTATAGAGGAAAGAACATGCTCACAGCAGGTTGTTTTTCCTTTCTGTGGTCTATTTCCTACTAATTTGGATATAATTCAGTGACTGTTGAGCCGCTGCTACATGTGAAAAATCAACGTGATTTTACAGTTTGGGTTTTTGCAGGTCTACTCATGTTTAATACAGTAAACTATGTTCCTTTATGCTGTGCTGTTACCTTTAGACAGAGTCAGCAGTTAAAAGTCCTGTTGGGGTCCACATGGATTAGGGATTGACCATCGGATTGTTCTGTGTTACTGATAAATCCATAACTAGGAAGTATTTCTCATCTACATGAACTGGTACCCGGCCGGGAGTTCGCATACGGTGTTTTATTTTAGAATACCGGATGACATGTGAGGTTTTCATGCTTGACTTCCTGTCTGGAACGATCTTTTCCGTGTGGAATGACGCCCATTGGAAGCGTGGAGCAGCAAAAGTAGACATGCCGTGTATCTTTGGCAGTGCTGCTCTCAATAAGATACTGCGGCGGAGCTGATACAGGTCTTGTATGCTTTGCTGCATTGATCAGAATGGCAACCTATTTGCTGCGTGCTACGCGCAGTGCTGCCATGCTTCAAATACACATCCTGTATGTTTTAGACTTTAAAGTCCCATGCCGATCTTTTTTTTTACTACATAATTTGTTCTCAGTGGTCTTTAAATTGTGTTTATAAATTTTTTAGCCAAAATCACGTTACCTGTGTCATTTTCAGGGGCTTTTCTTCTACAGAGCTCCAGTAGCTCATTAGCAATTCACCTCTAAGTCGTGGGCCGAGACAGCTCTGCTCTTCATACTCCTCTTAACACTAGCTTGTAGCTTAACATTGCCGGTGTAGCTTAACATTGCTCTCGGACACTATTGTCTTTGGGGACATGAAAGTTAATATAATTAGCTTTCTTATGAGCATTGCAATCCACTAACGTACACGATTGTTCGGTGATTGTCCTCTCTACTTTTCTGAGCCTGGCCTGCTGAGTGGGGCTCCGGGGGCGGAGCTTGGATTTGCTACATAAAAATAGAAATCTAACTATGTCTGACCCTGCTGTTTGGGTCTGCCAGAAGTTGATAGTGATTTGAATGCAGAAATACTCAGAAATGAAATTTGCACTTATTTTTCTCATGATATGTCCTGCAGTATCTGAAAAATGTTATATGAATATGTAGACAACAAGAAAAACATGCTTTTCATCAGTGGGTCTTTAAGAGGGACTGTAGGAAATCTCTTAATTCTTCTGGTTCATTTGTAAGTCAGTTTCTAAAACAAACAAACCAGCGAAAAACCTCACACTGCATTATAATGATGATATATTCACTAATTAGTTGTGACCTACTCTCTGAGTGAGCCAACAACACATTTCAGTAATCATGTCTCTAAAATACTACAGCTCAATATTATGGAAGGCAGAGACACGAGCAAACAAGCAAATAAAGTAAAATAATAAAGAATCAAATGTATTCATGTCAGCTGCTTCACTTTGTTGTGGCTGTTCAGGCCAGTCAGTCAAAAATAACTGTGAGACGGTAGGGTCTGTCAACACCAGGCGAACAACCTGCAAACCCACCTGCTCACTCTACATCAATGATTGATTGGTTGATTGCATGTCATTTACATGAAGTTGCATGGAGTTACCATGCCTCAAGGGTCTGTAAAGCAGCAGAAATCCAGCTGCAGCACTCCGATAATCATCATAGTCATTTTAAAGTTTAAAGTAAGCTCCGTAGCGCACGCCACAGGGAGGGGCGTGGCTTGCGCTAAAGGAGGCGTGGACAGGCGCGGCACATAGAAACGGCTCGTTCTCGGTAGAGCTCACAAGAGAGTTTTCAGGCTGGCTGAAGTCCAGGAAAAACTAGGTTTTTAGACAACAAACTTCAAATTGACTGTTCTGGGACCTCTGAGACCTGCTGAAAAGGAGTTTAATATGGGACCATTAATGAAAAGTACATCCCTGTGGCTAATATAGATGGATAATCAAACAGAGAATGAATCTTAGAGCTTAGAGCTCTCTCTGCAGATAAGGATGCTAATCCTGAGGGTAACTGTGCACATAGGGGTCCCTTTCCTTTAGTTAAATTACACTTTACAAAATGAAAACTTCAAATTATCCCTCACTAATTGATGCAGCTGGTTGATATTAATGTCCATGAAAAGAGAACACAAAGTGCTAAACAGTGATTTTATTGATCGACTCTGTAAAAAGCTTTAAGCCAAAGTCTCTCCCCTCAGCCTCTGTTTACTGCTCCCAGAGCTGTACCTCCATCCTGAAATATTTAATGCATTAATCTATCTATGTAATGTTCTCAAATCAAACTGGGGTCAGACACAGAAAAACCTGCTTATTGGAAACAAATGAGGGCAAACAGAGTGACGTACTGAGCTGTATATGAAACAAGTGGCCATTAAAATGGATTTATCAGGATTCCACTGACGAATAAACTCACACATCTTACTCACTCACTAAAACACACACACACACACACACACACACACACACACACACACACACACACACACACACACACACACACACACACACACACACACACACACACACACACACACACACACACAAAAGAAAGACACACACAGACCTCCCAGTATGAGCCTTCTCTGTGTTGTAAGTTAAACCCGGCTGTTCCAATTCCGACTGTATCGCTCTCTCCTGCTTTCTCTGCACCCCCCTCAGCCTTCCTCATGTGGAGTCCCCCCTAGGCTCCACACTTGGTCCTGTTTTATTCTCTTTGTATGTGCTTCCTCTGGGGTCAATTTTGAAAAAAGTACAGAATATCTGTACTTCATCAGAGTTTACAGTGCAGAGTTTTCCTCTGCCAGCCAAACTGACTTTACAATAAATCACACTCAAAAAACCTAACATTGTAACCTGAAAGATGCAAATAATTTCTCAAAGTTGTTTCACAGCATGTGAGACCGTGAATCTTATTCATAAATTCCCCTAAATCACAGTGTGTCAGTGCCATCTTGCTTCACTGAGAGGAGGAGAGACTCATTGATATTATATTTTTAACTCTAGTTTTTAGACATTTTGGGTTGTGGAGCTGTCCAAACATTTCACCCTACAATACACCATACGAGATTTCATCATTGGTGGAAATGAAATATTCAACTTTTGCTTTGTTTCAATTAGCGCTCTTAAGTGATAGAAATATATCACTATAATATCTTAAGCATTTATTCTATCCAAAGAGGCAGAAAAAGCCACAGACACCTTAAATCCACCCAAATCACTGGGAAGTTGATTCAGACCTGTCAAATTTCATCAGAGGACCTCTGTGGGGTTGAGATATGCCCAGAATTTTTCAATATTTTCAATATTGCAGACATGGTCGACAGGCCAATGATCAGAGATCAGCACGTAATACATCAGAAAAGATTATTAATACTTCTATCACCATGTCTTGATTCCTGCTCGTTGGTGTTGTCAGATCCCTGCTGCTCATCTCTTACCTGATGAACAGAAACAGGAGCACATCTCACCTATTCTGTCTTTTATTCACAGGATCCAGGTGCATCTTGGGGTTGATTTTTAATTTTTACCGATGAATTTCAAAACACTTGACACTTTAGTTCTTACTGAATCTCTCTGACCTTTCAAAACCACATGGTTAATCTGGGGCTGCCTCTGAATGTCCTCAGTTCTGGACTGAAGCCTGTCCCAAACCAAACCTCACTCAGCTCCTGTTGTTTCTGAGCGTGCTTTGTGAATACAGTTGGACTGCATTGGGTCTCTCTGGATCCCAGCACTCTGACACAAGCCTCGGACACTCAGGAACGTCTGAATGTGCTCTTTGTGTACTCATTGTGTGTTTGTGTTAGTGACCCGGCAGCATCACATCCTCCTGACTTGCCTTGTCACATGATCGAGCAGCTCCGTGTCAGGCCGGTCCATCCTGCAGATCTGCATCCGCTCAGCCTATTCTCTGGCTGCAGACCGGGAGAGCCTCTGCCCCTCAGAGCCGGCAGACTCTCCAGTACTTTTCCACCCTCATGGACAAGAGGAGAGAGAGAATGAAGCAGGGGAGGGAGGGGGAGACAAGGAGACTCAAAAAAAAGGCTGAATACACCAGGGAGGAGGAGGAGGAGGAAGAGGAGGTTGTCTGCACTTGTTCAGTTTGAACATGCTTGACTGTTTCTTCTCCTTTCTCTTTATCTTTGTCCCTCCCTTCTTACCTGTGTCCTTCCCTCCTTAACCTTGTCCCTTCCTCCTTACCTTTGTCCCTGTCCTGAAGGTGCAGAAGTCCTTACATAACTCCCTCAGAGCTGCTGGTTCTGACTCCTTGTTGTCCTTGTTCGGTTAAGGACATGTAGCAGGGCAAACCGGATCGACTCTGAACAGGCCAACCGTCTGCTGCAGACAGAAAACACTGCGGTTTCATAATGTCATCTTTAACACCTCTCTCTGAATCTGTGCAGGAAACAACCACCCTGAGGTATTTACTGTTAAACTCCAGTGTGTGTGGAGCATTAAGAAGCATTTACAGAGGATTAGATCTCACACACAAGAAACGTCACTAACTCAGTGTGTGAAAACACTCGGTTTTGTCCCAGTAATCCCACAGACAAGTGGTAAACATAAATCTGAAACATCTTCCCAGTGCTGCATGTATGGGAAGGGTTTGTTGGACTGCATCCAGACCCAGTTTTATGATTCAACATGTGGAAAAAAACAGCACAGTCATGAGGACAGCAGCCGTGGCTTCAGCAGCAGCAGGTTTTGTTCAGCCGTCTGCAGAGGTTTGCCTTCTATCACTTTAGTCTCTCCACTTGAAAATATTTTTCTTTTTGAGTGTACATGTCCTTTAGCTAGAGCACCAAAATGTAATTGAAAAAAGCCGTCACACCTCATTGACAACAGTCTTCATGTCTGCAATATGGAAACTGAAAAGTTTGATCCCTCAGGTCAGCTGTTGTCTAAGGTTGCTCAACAGGTCTTACTTGTCTTGAGATATAAGATTTCACCTCATGATTATCATGGCCAGAAATATCATGCTTACAATTTTATCATGATCTTTATGTAAAACTTAAAAACAAACTGAAGAAAGGAAACACGAGAGTGGATAGCCGCCTTACTTCAAAAACTTGTAGATCATAAGTTTCTGAGCTGAATGAAAACAGCATTTATTAAGTTGACATGTTTAATTGATCGGTAACCTGAAGAGACTCGAACTCTACTGTTGAATGAATAAATCTAAATGTCAGTTTCTTAAAGTGTTGAGTTATCTCTCAGGAAGATGCTACAGCTAGCTCACTAGCAGCTGCTGAATCTTCTTCATCTCTCCAACATGTGGCAACCAGCACAAGAACAACTCCTCTGAACCCAGATGGCTCTATTGTCATGCCTCGCCGGCAACGTGGCGCAGGCGTGGTGATAAGGCGTGCCCAAGCACACTTTGGTATTTTGGTGAGCGGCACAGCCTGGTGTAAGTATCTCCCCTCCTTAGCTTAGCTCAGAGGTGTAAGTAGCAGAGAGGGAGGGGAAAGGCGTGGAGTGGGTTTAACACAGTCGAGACCTGTTTTCACCAATCATATCAACTCCTTTCCTCACCTTTAAATTCACTACCAGCGAGAGGAATTACAATTCTCGTGAAGCAGTCAAAGAGAACAAGAGATGACTGAAGATAGAAACCCCACATGAAGGCAAAAGAGGGCAGTCCCTCCACAAGTGTCACTGTAAGCGCTGCAGAGGGCATCCTCCACACTCTCAAATAAGCACAGAGGGATTTGGTGTGTGTAAGGTTGGACCCACTGGTAGGACAAACACCCTTTTCAACAAATAAAGACAATCACATCAAGTTGCATATATTCAAAACCCACATGACAAAGATGGGTTGTGCGCACAGATTACAATATAAACAAATTCCAATAATGGCATTAAAATCGTAACCTCCTGTGCATAAAGGACGCATTGTGCTCCGTGGCCTGGCTCTTTCTTTCATAGATGTTGGCATATAAAATGAGCTCGGCTCACAGAACTGAATATTATAATATTCATATGATTGAATATTCACAGAATTTTGAGGATGTGCAGACATCAGATTAAACAGGTAATTTAAGTAGTAAAGTAAATAACTCATCTGATCACTAAAATAAATCGTCTGTTCAGCCTTGCCCCCCCCCCCCCAGCAGCAGTAGGATGGGGAGAAGACACAGAGACATGTCTCGGTTGAGCTGCGTGAGAAATGAAGAGGGGGAGGGAAAAAGGGGGAGACGAGTTAAATGAATTGTTAACTTCATCATGTGTGACTGTTTACTGGATATTTAATTTAATGCAGTTTCAGTTGTGTTAATTCAGTCAGGTTGAGTGTCCAAGAGCATGCCAAACACGCTTATCAGATAAAATATAGATCAGAATATATCGATATAGATCTAAATGTATGCACTGACTCTGATAGTTGCACTGAATATTGGTTGTTGTTGATTATTTACTGCACTGACATGTGCCTGACACTGTGGAAACCTGCTGGTGAGGCATCAGTGACATATGCCGATACGCCGCCGGTCTACCAAAATACCACTAGACCAGCTGCGCTCTGCCTGCGCCTCAGTCGACAAAAATACCAAACTGACTGTGCACCGTGCTCCGCCAGACGAAAATACCACTGCGTGGGGTGCGCCACCCTCCACCGCGCCACCAGCGAGCACAAAAATAGAGCCCAGAGTGTTACTGTGTGCTTGTTCTAGCTCACCCTGTCAGTATTTCATTTTTGAAAAGATGGATTTATCCTTTCATGTCTCAATGAGATTTTAATAATCTCACTGTTTCTCTGAGGTTGTCTCTGCAGTTCTGAGAATTGTAACTCTCTGGTTTGTAGGTAGCTGGGCTACAAAAGTGGACGACTCTTAAGTTAGCCTAAGACTCAGTCTCAGCAACCAGCGATGCTAGCAAACCCCCAGGAATACTTTTAGCTCGGCCTGGTCTGAGGGCTAATATTTATGGGTCTGTTAAAGTTTCAGAGAGCTGTTCAGTTCAAAAGGCTCTCTGACTCTCTAACAAAAAATTTAGATCACTTTCAAATTAGAGAGATAATCAAATAACATTATGAAAAAAATTCTCTTCAGCCTGACATAACTACTCCACGGTGACTGAATCTGTAACATGTTTGATTTGGAGATGATAAATGTTGAGCAGCAGCTCATCATCATCAGTCTTAATTTGATCATGCTCTGTGCATTTGCTATCTGAACTCACGAAACAAGGAGGGAAACTGGAGAAAAATCTGCCCCATGTTTGAGTCAGCTGTTCTGTTAATGCTGCCTTGTTTTCAGAAATGATTTTAAGGACACGGTCAAAAAGTCAAAAAGCTCTCTTCATCATCCCCAAACTGACGGTTTGGTGGAAAAGCTCAAGTCTTCTTTTTTAAAAAGCAAATTCCTATATCTGTAAAAAGTACAGAATCACTCCTCTAGCATGTGGTATCAAACCATCAACTACTTCAACAAAGCAAGTGGTTAAAAGTGACTCATTAAAAGGTAACTCTCGTGTTTTTACTGTGCAGGTATATCACTGAGGATGGCGACCAAGTCAAAAGCTAGATAGATACCACTTTCATGATTTCACAGGTGATGACGACCTTTGAGGACATCATTGAAGAAGTTTTAGGTGTAAGGACCGACTCCAGTTTGCATACAGGGCAGAGAGGGGTGTACAAGATGCCGCCATCATCCTCTACCTGTAAATGGACCAGAGTCAAAAAAGCAGATCAGCGAAGATCAACAGTGAAACTCCAGCCTGGGTTCTTCACTGTCCTAATTTGCACTCTCTGGTCTTGATGGTGTCCAGCTCCAAGTTGTCTGGCAGCAGCGTTCTCACCTGACAGCTGTGTAACCCGACTTCCTGTCTGTGACCTCTGACCTCTGGATGAACCTGCTGCAGACCGTTGATGACCACAGAGGTTTGCTGCTGGACCCAGTCCTTTTGGCCTGCAGAGGGTCAGACTAAGTCAAACTTCAGCTCACAATGCAACAGGAAATAAGGGCTGTGATTTGGCCTGAAAAAGCTGCACACAGCTGCAGAGTGAATGGATGAGGGAGGACAAAGGACAGCGTGGGAACTGAGCCGAGAGCAGGAAAACAGAAGGACACAGTGAGGACAAAAAAACCACAACATGAGGAAAACCATATCGATGCTCTGACAATGAAGGAGACTGTTATCCGCAGAGAGTCCCAAACTTTTACTCAGAAGGACTTCACTGAGCTCACAGTCTCTGAACACAGCTCACTGATTCATTCATCTTCAAGTCAGCAGTTTGCTGCAGAAGCTCCTGCTGTCAGATGAGTGTCTTCTCTAAGTTTAACCTAAAATAAGAGCCAAACTTTCAGTGACTTAAACAGCTGAATTCAGGCTGGTGACTGCAGCTAAATTTGGACACAATATGAGCTCTGCAAAGTGATGTTTTTGGATGTTTCCTTTTCGAGTATGCTTGTTATTCCTGTGGAGGTTGGTGTGCTGTTGATTGGACATGAGATGCCAGCTGAGGCTTCACCTCTGACAGAAACGTGCTCCATAAAAGTTCATTACAGTCACGTGAAAGTCGTAAACTCAGCAGCACTGTCGGGTCTGAAGCGGCTCACTTGAGAGCTTTACAGTCTTGGATGAAATGAAGGGTTAAATAAAAGCAGAGATCAGTGAGGTATGTTTGCAGCTCTTAAAAGTTCCTCAGCACTGCCTCTCACTAAACAACACTGACTAAAGGAAATGTGTCTCAGCTGTGTGCAGCAGGATATCAGCTGCAGCTGCATTCATCATCAGCATCATCCTCTTCATCATCCTGCACACACACTGGCTGCGTTTACATGGGCACAAATAATCGGAATAAAGGCCTGATCGGAATTAGAATGCATCATGTAAACATGTCGATCAGAAGATTCTGATCCAGTTTGGCTCAGTCAGAAAGAAAGTGTATTCTGATTGAGAGGGGTGGTTTATGCCGACCATTTTTCCCAAAGGCGTTCATGTAAACACTTATTCCGATCATGAGTCTCCAACCTGACTCAGTCATCACTCTTTAACCTTTGGTTTATTTATTGGGCCAGTACAGGAGGTTTTATTATTAACACTCTGGCATAAAGCACAACCGCAGGTGCTGTGTTTGTGCCTCCGGTAACATACCAAGGCCTACATACAGTTTATAGATGTTACATCTGTACACACAGTGCAACCTTTGACAGAACACTAAAATAAGTATGAAAGGGCACCATCTAGTGACAACATTTAACATGGGAGAAAACTCCTAAATTGGATGTAGTGAGCCACCACCGCTACTGCTGGTTTGTTGACGGCACAGGCAACTCTTCTTCTGCGGTTGTTTTAGTGAAAT